AAGCTAGCAAGCAACAATTATACATACTTCAGTAATCTCCCTCATGGTATGCTGCTACCTTAATGAATTTCTTTTGGGTTATATTTTCCCCATCAAATAACTGTTTCATGAGCAGGGAAGGAGTAATATAAGAGGGGAAAACTTCCTGCATCAACTTGACTTTCAGTAACTGTGTGGTCCAATGACAATTACTGAATTAAGAGTTGCTTTACTTCAGAAAGCTTACAGGTAAGAGACTTTGAGATTTTATGTATGTATGTATGTATGTACACACACACACAGCTCCCAACTGATCATGTATATGTTAGCAAAAATCATGTATATAAGGGCAAAAAGAAATCATTGAATCAGAAATATAGCCTTTTGCTGTAGGTAAACATGATATAAATACTTTTTTTAAAGCTTGAGTTACTCATTGCATCTTGTGCCCTTCAGAGGTATTGGACTGCCACTCCCATACCTATCAGCCAACATGACTCAGTCTTACGCGAACTGCAGTCCAACACATCTGGAGGTCACCTAGGTGGGGAAAACTACCTTGAAGAACACAAGGTAAATCTCTAAGCATATGGATATATCTCAAATGGACTTCGATTAAACATAACTAGGACTACACTACATAAACCTTTAAGTTTAAACCACAACTGGCAATGTTATATTTTAAGTGAAATCTGAAAATAAGAACTTAGTTTCATTACATAAAGTTAACTTTCCATACTACAAGGTCAGGCATACTTTACAGACATATAGTCTTTTATTATGAAGACAGTTTTATGAGTTCCCACTCTCTTGGTGGCATGAAAAAACCTTATATATTTGGGGAGATCATATCTGGTGGTGATAAACAAAGATTTCATTTGCACATTCTATAGCTCACAAAAAATAATGTTGACACATACACAGGGATTCCCAGGTATCACTATATAAACAATATTTCATGGACACAAGTCAATAATAGTTAGGATTAAGAAGCAACACTCTGGATTCCTAAATCAATCATTAAGAAGGTTTACCAAACCTACTGCAAAATGCAGTCTCTCCTTGCTCTGATAGCTTTTGTATCCTTGTGAAACAAGGCTGTCCATTACTTGTAGTTTATCATCCTGACAAAATCCAAGAAATGGCGATGTGAAGCACTCACAATTCACCCCCGATGATTCCCCTACTTTCCTTCTCCTCTGTATTAAAACCGACAAGATTAACCCAAAGTAAATGGCAGAGCACAGTTCAAGGAGCTATTCATTCAGCAGTGAATGTGCATTTGTTTGCCTACGAGAAAACAAGAATAAGAATTTCACGAACAAACAATGAGAGGCAGGCTGGTTTATGCTACTGAAGAGACAGCTTAAATAGGGCCATCAATTGTAGGCCATTTTATCAGTCTCTGACAGGCTGATGTTTATTCAGGCTAACTGCTGCAGATTTTATGTGTAATAGGTTATCGGAGATACTATTTGGCTATTTGTTTGCTTTTCCTTAGTCAAATTACATCTCATTAAGGAAAAGAGTTCCACCATTGGCAGAATGTTTGGCTGACATAACTCCTTTATGCAAGGAAGACAAATTTAAGTAATCTCATTGATAAGTAAACGTTTCTGTCCTTCACTCTGAAACTCATCTAATAAAACTTCACTTTGTGACATATATATAATTGAGAAATTGCCCTACTGGTGACAAAGAAAAAAAAAGTCAAGATACGCAAGACAATATATTTGTGTTGGCAGGAAGAAATTTCTTCATTTTGTGTCACTACAGCTATACAAGAGCTTATATTACTATCTTGTCTTCATATCTAGTTTTCTGAATGGTTGAAAAGACCAAAGAAATCACATTCAAAGAAAATCTTTGAGCAAAACTCAACGTATCCTTTACTGACTCAAAAAAAAAAAAAACAGATAGGGTACTTTCATGACAAAGGTATTAAGCCACGCTGAACATAAATATAAAAGTCTCAATTGACTGCCTTCTTGTTTTTCTTCCCTAACCACTGCTAAACATGCTGGTCACCAAAGAAAGTGAATCACAGAACAACTGCGACTTGGGAAATCAGGTCATGAAAGAATGTTGGTTCACCTTCTATGGCATTACCTCACATTCACTACAAGCTGGTCTTGACAAAGTCTCCATTGAAACACTTTCAGTATAATAGATTTCTGAGTTGTGTATGCTTGCACCCTGAGCAAAAAAGGCTTAATATCAGTTATGCTAATTATGTCTTCAAACTATGGAAAAGTATTACAATGCAATTCTATGCCTGTTTACTCAGAAGTAAACCCCATTCTGCTTTTTGAGGCTATTCCATGGAAGGTGTGTTTACAACTGCAGCCTTCAATGCCAACCTTGGATCCAGATTCTTCTAACTATCCTTGGGGATAGGGAGGAAAAAGAAAAATCTCTCTACAAAGAGCTTTCCTTTCTCTTAAGGAATAACCTGCTATCCTTCAGGCTCAGAATAGAGAAGCACCCAGAAATACAATATCTTGATTAAAAGTGACAATCAGACACATTTCACACAGTGTAGTATTACTAATGCATTTATCGAAAGTGCAGGCCACTTATGCACACTACCTCAGTGAGGTGATGAAGCCTGAATAATTAATACCAAAACCTTTCAATCCCATCATCGGGCACCACTTATTTGAAATGCTGCATTTAAGTGACGGAGAACAGAGTGCTGCTAATTAAATCATAGTTAAGCTTGCTGTTGATAATATTTCTATCAAGCAAAATCGAAGCATCGTTTTGGTGACAAGGCCCTACGCTATAAATGGCGAGTCAAGTAAATCATTTGAGACTTGGTTAAGGAGCAGGGGAAAGAGCACGTAGGCAAGTTAGCCCTGGAAACTGAAGGGAGAAGAAAATGACTACAGCACAGCAAAGTGGGCTTTTATGTACTGGAAGAGTGACCTCTGTAGGAAAAATGCAATCACTGGATTGCAGCTAAAGGTGGGAGAATATGCTTTTTCTCTAGGATGAACCGTAACACTAGGATGACTTCTCCACTTCAACACGCAGTTCCACACACAGGCACTTTAAATAAACTCCACTAATCCTTTGAGGCAGATTTCTTTTCTGGTTTAAACTGAATTTATCATGAAATCTTTTCTAAGTTGCAGAGGGAGCACTAAAATAAGCTCTTGGCATCCAGCTCCAGCAGTAAGTAACAGCGTACATCTACCTAAGGAAAGGAAGAAAGTGTTACTAAACCTGGACAAGTATGTTGTGATCCTACAAAGGATAAGCCAGTTTTCTACATTTTAATGAAAATAAAAAGCTGTTCTTCATTGTTTCATGTTTAAACTATCTATATTATCAAGGGCTGCATTGGACCAGAAAAACTTTGGGGAAAGGAGAAGGGTGAGTAGAATCAATAGAGGAGTGGAAGAAAATTTATGGACATCAGAATGTGGTTTAATTTATGAACACAATATCTTAACTAAACTTCTTATACTGTTAGACTGAAATTCAAATGTGTGTCGTTTTAGCTGGATCTCATACAGCCTGCAAGATGTATAGCCAGCTCATAAACTATTTCATGCTTGTGAGAAAGGCTGTTTCCCAATTGGATGGTTATTTTACAGAGAAACGTGTACTCTGTTCACATCCAGCAAGCTTACAAGGTTATACAGAGAAGCGGATCTTGCTTATAATAATCATTTTCAATAAACTATTTGCTAGAAATCATTACAGACCTTAATGTGGTTTTAAAAATTGTTTTCTCAAGAAAGACTATCAAGAGAATTTCATTTCCTCTACATTTCTTTTAGAAACAAACCCCAGAAATTCAACTCAAATGACTGCAAAAGTTAACAGACTCAGTTATTTGCAGGAAGACATTTTTCAAAAGGGGAAACAAATATCAAATTCTCTTTTATGGAAGTATTTTCCTTTATTCTAAGCATAAACTCCTTACATAAACATGTTTATTACAGCATTATACTTCACTGTTATATCATATGACAGGAAATTCTGAACTGTCTCTGAACACCAGAAGTTTACCCCAGAAGCTTTATGGGGGAGGGGAGGGGAGGGGAGGGGAGATGTCTAAATCCACCAGACTTAAGATGGAAACTCCCACCACCTCCCACTTTCCTAATCCTCTGCATCAACTCTGTCTCAAGTCCCAACCCTTTTGGGGTGCCCGTATCTTTGTTCTGCTTGGCTCTGTGAAGGGTTGCATGCAGTGGAAAGGCATTCAGCTGGGCAAGGCTCTTTCCTGACACACTGGCCTGGTTTCTGCTGCCAAAATTAGAATGAGACTTGATTAAGCCTGGGAGCCTTTACCTGGGTCTATAAAGGGTAAAGGGCAAGCAGGGAAGAAGCTGGTCTCTTCAATCCCTTCCCATTTTTTCACACCCCTCCCTTCCTCAACAGGCTGCCATCCTGAGAAAGGGATGGCGAGCCTGCCTACAACTGCCTACGAACGACCTAAACTTTTGCCAGCCCCACAAACCAGGCCGCTACTATCGTTCTGTATTCAGCAAGGCCAGAAAACTTCTCTTCCGACCCTCTTCCGTTCCCCTCCTCGCCCAAGAAATCATTGCGGGGGGCCTTTCGCCGGGCCCCACTCCTTTCCAGGAAAGCCTCAAGACCAGCAATCCCGGGCTCCGCGTTTCGCTTCTAAAGCAGCGGAATGTCGCTCGCACCGACGCAGCGAAGCGCGCGCGCAGAAAAGAAAAATCGCTGCCCGATACTTCAAGACAGCCCCCAACCACCTGAGAGGCTCAGCACCCGAAGTGCCCCCTAGGAGAGGCAGGGTCTAGGACCAAGCTGAGGCTCCCTCCCCCTCTCGTTCCCGCTGACAGTCCCGTTCCCCAGGCCTCTCCCGATGGAGGGCTCGCCCGGTTGGCGACCCACTTGCGCTCCGAAGCTCGCTAGGATGGCAATCCTGCGGCCTGCCTAAAGGGCGTGGCCGGGCGAGCGAGCGAGCGTGCGAGGCTGCCTTTGCCCGTCCGCGCTCACTGGGGCTGGAAAGAAAGCGAGCCTCCCCGGGCACTTACTTGGAGTTGGAAGAGTTCCAGTAGATGGGCTCCAGCACCAGCGAACTGGCCAGCGCCGTCCGGCACAAAAGCACCCAGATCCCCCAGCAGCACCTCCCGAGCGGGGATCCCCCCCCGCGCGCTACCACTGTCGGGGGCG